GGACACGTCAAGGACATGTGAGAGACCCCCGGGTGATCACAGAGCCCGCCCCGCCACGCAGGTACAGGTGACGCGCCGTGGAGGCTGCGGGACACGCCAAGGACATGTCAGGGACACGTGGGACAGGCACCGGTCGGTACCCCGGTACCCCAGTTGGTGTCCCGGTACCAGTACCCCGGTCCGTATCCCGGTCCCAGTTGATATCCCGGTCGTTATCCCGGTATCCCAGTCGTTATCCCGGCCGTTATCCCGGCCGTTATCCCAGTCACTATCCCGGTTGTTATCCCGGTATCCCGGTCGTTATCCCGGCCGTTATCCCAGTCATTATCCCGGCCGTTATCCCGTTTGTTATCCCGGTCTCCCGGTCAGTATCCCGGTCTCCCGGTCGTTATCCCGGCCGTTATCCCGGTACCCCGGTCGTTATCCCAGTCATTATCCCGGTCGTTATCCCGGTCTCCCGGCCGTTATCCCGGCCGTTATCCCGGTCGTTATCCCGGCCGTTATCCCGGTCGGTATCCCGGTCGTTATCCCGGCCGTTATCCCAGTATCCCAGTCAGTATCCCGGTCGGTATCCCAGTCATTATCCCGGCTGTTATCCCGGCCTCCCGGCCGTTATCCCGGTCGTTATCCCGGTCGTTATCCCGGTCGGTATCCCAGTCGGTATCCCAGTCGGTATCCCAGTCTCCCGGCCGTTATCCCGGTCGTTATCCCGGTCCCGGCCCCGCTGACCTGCCCGCGTGTAGAACCAGTTCTCGTCGTACGGCGCCAGCTCCTTGTGCTTGGCCAACTTCACCGTGTCCGCCCAGTCCGGCACCTTCAGCTTCCCGGACCTGCACCGGGAACCGGGAATGGCACCGGGAACCGGGGAAAGGGAACCGGGAACGGGACCGGGACCGGGGAATGGGGAACGGGACCGGGAACGGGACCGGGAACGGGGAATGGGGAGTGGGAACCGGAACCGGGAATGGGACCGGGAACGGGACCGGGAACGGGGAGTGGGAACCGGGAATGGGGAATGGGAACGGGAATGGGGAAAGGGAACCGGGAATGGGAACCGGGAATGGGGAAAGGGAACGGGGAGTGGGAACCGGAACCGGGAATGGGAACGGGGAGTGGGAACCGGGAACGGGAACCGGGAATGGGGAAAGGGAACCGGGAACCGGGGAATGGGAACCGGAACCGGGACCGGGAACCGGCGGTGGGAACCGGGACCGGGAACCGGGAATGGGGAAAGGGAACCAGGACCGGAAATGGGAACGGGACCGGGAATGGCAACCGGGACTGGAAACCGGGAATGGGAACCGGAGATGGGAATGGGAACCGGGAGTGGGAACCGGGAACGGGGAATGGAAACCGGGACCGGGAACTGGGAATGGGAACGGGAATGGAACCGGGAACAGGGATGGAACCAGGAATGGGAACCGGGAATGGGACCAGGACCAGCACCGGGAACCGGGACCAGGAATGGGAACCGGAACCGGGAACCGAGCGTGGAACCGAACCGGGGATGGGACCCGGCAGCGGCAGCAGCCCCGCCCCGCCCGCCCCTCGGCGGTCCCTCCGCTCCGTGCCCGGTCCCCCCGGTCCCTCCCGGTCCCTCCGCTCCGTGCCCGGTTCCCCCGGTCCCTCCCGGTTCCCCCCGGTCCCGCTCACTTCTTCAGGAACGCCGCCAGCGCCCTGACGAACTCCTGCTGGTTCACGTCCTTCACCGTCACGCCGGGCATCTGCGGGGACACGCGCGGGGTCACTCCCGGCCCGTTTTTCCCCGCTTTTCCCCGTTTTTCCCCGTTTTTTCCCGTTTTTTCCCCGTTTCTCCCGGCCCCGCTCCCGCCCCGACCTCGCCGCCGCCGCCGCCGCCGGAAGAGGCCGAGCACGGGGCCGCCCGCGCAGCCTGCAGGGGCAAACCTCGCGAGATTTCCCCCCTGCAGCCAATCAGCGCCGGCGAGATCACGCGCCGACCAATCGGCGGGGAGATGGGCGGGGCCGCGGGTGAGTGGTGCGGCCCCCCCCCGCGTTGGGAATGGTTCGGTCCGCGTGGCCACGCCCCTCCAAGGGAACGGCGGCTTCTGATTGGTGGAGCCGGTTCTGGCGGCTCCGCCCACCAGGGGGGTCCCGGAATGTCCCCAAATTGCCCCAAAATGTCCCCAAAGGGTCACAAATTGTCCCCAGAGGGTCCCAAAATGTCCCCAAGGTCCTGGGACAGCCCAAAATGTCCCAAAGTGTCCCAAAATGTCCCCAAATTGTCCCAAAATGTCCCCAAAATGTCCCCAGAGGGTCCCAAAATGTCCCCAAATTGTCCCAAAATGTCCCAAATTGTCCCCAGAGGGTCCCAAAATGTCCCCAAGGTCCTGGGACAGCCCAAAATGTCCCCAAATTGTCCCAAAATGTCCCCAAAGGGTCTCAAAATGTCCCCAAGGTGTCCCCAAAGTGCCCCCAAGGGGTCCAAAATGTCCAAAAATGTCCCCAGGGTGTCCCCGTGACCCCCCAGAGGTGTCCCCAAGGTGTCCCAGTGTCCCCCCAATGTCCCCGAGGTGTCCCTGAGGTGTCCCAGTGACTCCCCAGAGTGTCCCCAAGGTGTCCCAATGTCCCCCTGGTGTCCCCAAGGTGTCCCAATGTCCCCCCAGTGACCCCCCAATGTCCCCCCACTGTCCCCACAATGGCCCCAAGGTGTCCCCAAGGTGTCCCAGTGTCCCCCCAATGTCCCTGAAGTGTCCCTAAGGTGTCCCCGTGACCCCACAGTGTCCCCAAGGTGTCTCAATGTCCCTGGGCCACCCCCAAGGTGTCCCCAGCGTGTCCCCAGGGTGTCCCAATGTCCCCCCAGTGTCCCCCCAATGTCCCCTTGGTGTCCCCAGGGTGTCCCAGTGCCACCCCCGGATGTCCCCAAGGCGTCCCCAGCTGCTGCCACCTCCCTGTCCCTTTAAGAAGGGGGCGTGTCCCACCCAAACCCCGCCCCCTCCCCTCCAGCCAATCACGGACGGCGACACAAACGAGGGGCGGAGCTCCAAAGATTTTCCCCTTTGTTAAAACGGTCACATGACCCCGCCCGGCCCCACCCGCGGGGAAAAGGGGCGTGGCCACACAAGGGGGCGTGGCCACCCAGGGGGCGTGGCCACAAAAGGGGGCGTGGCCACCCAAGGGGTGTGGCCACGCAAAGGGGCGTGGCCACCAAATGGGGTGTGGCCACCCAGGGGAGTGGTCACCCAAAAGGGGCGTGGCCACCAAATGGGGTGTGGCCACCCAAGGGGCGTGACCACACAAAGGGGGCGTGGTCACAGAAGGGGCGTGGACACCCAAAGGGGCGTGGCCACCAAAGGGGGAGTGTCCACCCAAGGGGTGTGGCCACCCCAAGGGGCGTGGTCACGCAAAGGGGCGTGGCCACCCAATGGGGGTGTGGCCACAAGGGGCGTGGTCACGCAAGGGGGCGTGGCCACCCCAGGGGCATGGTCACACAAGGGGGCGTGGTCACGCAAAGGGGGCGTGGCCACCCCCAGGGGGCGTGGCCTGGGCGGGCTCAGCGCGCCCCGCCCGCGGGGGGCTCGGGGGGCGTGGCCTCGGCGGAGGGGGCGGGGTCAGGGCCGGAGGGGGGCGGGGCCTCGGCGGAGGGGGCGGGGCCGTCGGGCTCGGGGGGCGGGGCCGGGTCGGTGGGCGTGGCCGCCTGCATGATCTTCTGGCGCACCTCGCGGATCTTGAGCTGCAGGCAGAGCTTGGTGGGGAAGATGTCGGCGAAGCGCGCCTGGAACGCCGCCGTGGCCTGGGCTGCCGCGGGGACATTCGGGAGGTTTGGGGACACGTCAGGACAGTTGGGGACAATTCGGGACAATTCGGGACAATTCGGGAGGTTTGGGGACACGTCGGGACAGTTGGGGACAATTTGGGACAATTCGGGGACATTCGGGAGGTTTGGGGACAATTCGGGGACATTCGGGAGGTTTGGGGACACGTCGGGACAATTCGGGACAATTCGGGAGGTTTGGGGACAATTCGGGGACATTCGGGAGGTTTGGGGACACGTCCGGACAATTCGGGAGGTTTGGGGACAAGTCGGGACAATTCGGGAGGTTTGGGGACAATTCAGGGATGTTTGGGGACAATTCGGGACAATTTGGGACAATTCGGGGACAATTCAGGGATGTTTGGGGACAATTCGGGGACGTTTGGGGACAATTCGGGACAATTCGGGACAATTCGGGACAATTCGGGAGGTTTGGGGACAATTCGGGACAATTCGGGAGGTTTGGGGACAATTCGGGACAATTTGGGACAATTCAGGGACAATTCGGGACGTTTGGGGACAATTCGGGACAATTTGGGACAATTCAGGGACAATTCGGGGACGTTTGGGGACAAGTCGGGGTGCTTGGGGACACGTCAGGGCGGTTGGGGACAAGTCAGGGAGGTTTGGGGACAATTCAGGGACAATTTGGGATGTTTGGGGACAGTTGGGGACAATTCAGGGACAATTTGGGACAATTTGGGGCATTTGGGGACAAGTCGGGGACATTTGGGGACAGTTGGGGACAATTCAGGGAGAATTCAGGGAGGTTTGGGGACAAGTCGGGACAGTTGGGGACAATTTGGGGATGTTTGGGGACAATTCAGGGAAGTTTGGGGACAATTTGGGGACATTCGGGACAATTTGGGGACACGTCGGGACAGTTGGGGACAATTCGGGGACAATTTGGGACGTTTGGGGACAATTTGGGACAATTTGGGATGTTTGGGGACATTTGGGGACAATTCAGGGACAATTTGGGGTGTTTGGGGATAATTCAGGACAATTCAGGGACATTTGGGGACAATTTGGGACAATTTGGGACAATTCAGGACTTTTGGGGACAATTTGGGGACGTTCGGGGATATTTGGGACAATTTGGGGACATTTCGGGTCAGTTTGGGAGGATTTAGGGACACTCAGGGGACACCTGGGGCCAATTTGGGGCAATTTTGGGACATTTGGGGGAAGTTGGGGACACTCGGGGACATTTGGGGACAATTTAAGAACATCAGGGAACGTTGGGGACATTTCGGAATTTCAGGACAATTTCGGGATAATTTTGGGATAATTTTGGGATAATTTCGGGATAATTTCGGGGTGATTTTGGGGTGATTTTAGGGCACCTCAGGGATAACTCCAGGCTGAGTTTGGGCTGATTTTTGGGTGATTTCGGGGAGATTTTGGAGCCGATTTCGGGGTGATTTTGGGGTTATTTTGGGGTGATTCTGGGGCCGATTTCTGGCTGATTTTTGGGGTGATTTCGGGGCCAATTTTGGGGTAAATTTTGAGTTATTTCAGGGTGATTTTGGGGCCGATTATGGAGTGATTTTTGGGTGATTCCAGGCTGATTTTGGGGTGATTTCGGGCTGATTTTGGGGGTGATTTCAGGTTGATTTTCGGGGTGATTTCAGACTGATTTTGGGGTGATTTTGGGGGTGATTTCAGGCTAATTTTGGGGTGATTTTGGACTGATTTTGGGGTGATTTTCGGTCTGATTTCAGACTGATTTCGGGGTGATTTCGGTCTGATTTTGGGGTGATTTTTGGGTGATTTCAGGCTGATTTTCAGGCTAATTTTGGTCTGATTTTGGGCTGATTTCGGTCTGATTTTGGGCTGATTTCGGTCTGATTTTGGGCTGATTTCAGCCTGATTTCAGGCTGATTTCGGGCCGATTTCAGGCTATTTTCGGCCTGATTTCGGGCCTATTTCGGGCCGATTTCGGGCTGATTTTGGACCAATTTCGGGCTGATTTCAGGCTATTTTTGGCCTGATTTCGGGCCGATTTCGGTCTGATTTTGGGCCGATTTCGGTCTGATTTTGGGCCGATTTCGGGCCGATTTCAGGCTATTTTCGGGCCGATTTCGGGCCTATTTCGGTCTGATTTTGGGCCGATTTGGGTCTGATTTTGGGCCGATTTCGGGCTGATTTTGGGCTGATTTCAGGCTATTTCCGGGCCGATTTCGGTCTGATTTTGGGCCGATTTCGGGCTGATTTTGGGCCGATTTTGGGCTGATTTCGGCCTGATTTCGGTCTGATTTTGGGCCGATTTCGGGCTGATTTTGGGCTGATTTCGGCCTGATTTTGGTCTGATTTTGGGCCGATTTCGGGCTGATTTTGGGCAGATTTTGGCCTGATTTCAGTCTGATTTTGGGCCGATTTGGGTCTGATTTTGGGCCGATTTCGGGCCGATTTCGGGCTGATTTCAGGCTATTTTCGGGCTGATTTCGGGCGATTTCAGGTGCTTTTGGGGCGGCTCACCCGACGGGAAGAAGCCGTGCTCCTGGAAGAGCTGCATGACGAGGGCGCGGCGCTGGTCCAGCGTGCGGCGCAGCGACGAGAACGGCACCTTGTCGTACTCCAGCTCCCCCAGCACGTCCTCGCCCTCCCCCCCTGCGCCACGGGGGGCTCAGGGGGCGCCCCGACACCGGGACCCCCCGGCCCCGCCCCCCGCGCGGGGACCCCCAAACCCGGCCAAAAACCCCGGTCCTGGGGTGCCAAAACCCCAAACCCGGCCAAAAACCCCGGTCCTGGGGTGCCAAAACCCCAAATCCGGCCAAAAATCCCGGTCCTGGGAACCCAAAACCCCAAACCCGGCCACAAACCCCGGTCCTGGGGTGCCAAAACCCCAAATCCCACCAAAAACTCCAATTTTGGGGTCCCAAAACCCCAAATCCTGCCACAAACCTCGATCCTGGAGACCCCAGCCCCAAACCCCGCCACAAACCCCAATTTTGGGGTCCCAAAACCCCAAACCCTGCCACAAACCCCGATCCTGGGGACCCAAAACCTCAAATCCCTGCAAAAAACTCCAATTTTGGGGTCCCAAAACCCCAAACCCCGCCACAAACCCCAATCCTGGGAACCCAAAACCCCAATCCCTGCCAAAAACCCCAATTTTGGGGTCCCC